TTTGTGGTTTTTCGCTACACCTAGTTGTGCCATTTTGTGTTCGAAAGGATCTCTGCGACCTACCAGTGCTTATTAGTTGGTGAGAAAGATTATTTGTTGAAAGATAACGTCGCATAACTATCAATTGTTTAGTTTATTTAATTTCAATATGGCGTCGGTTAGGAAATTTCTAACTTTTCTGATAAATAGCCCCTAGAAACCCGAACTTCATTCTTCATTAGGTAAGAGAAAATAACCAATAATTATTTTTTGTTTTCATAGTTGATTACATTCTAGGTGTGCAAGTTGAATTGTACTTCAAGAACTTTGGATTTTGGTTCTGTGGTTGTTTTGGTTAGATAATGGTACCTTTATGAAATTGGAGCACCAAAAAAAAAAGAAAACGCCGAACTCCCCTACTACAACATGCTGCCACTGCCAAACTTTGGTTTTCGATGACATGACGGGGCATAAATACTACATTATTTAGGCAAAATTGTCCGTCGATTATTATTAGTTGATAGATAATCAATATAAGTATACATGTACCTTATTTTTTCAATAAAAAATGTTATTGGAAACTGATGTGCCTACTTAATTTTATAATTTTCAATTTTTGTTTTTTTTTTGGAAAAAGTTCTGACTTCCAGAAAATAGAACGAAAATTGAAAATTATTGAATTAGGTAATTTTTAATCCATAATCCTAAAATTCATTCACCTATTAAAGTCATACTAGAAACATATAGAGGATGTTTCTTACACCTGCCCCGGATGTATTAGGTACATCCCGCGTCATCTTAGAAACATCCCTGAGAGATGTTTATAGGACATCGCAAATGATAACACGGCTGTTGCCTGCAACATCCCAGGGATGTCCCCAGGAAAATAGGGACCTCCCAGGGACGTCTTCATTATCCCTGATGGATGTTTCTGGAATGTTTCTGCGATGTTACTGTGTTATTAGGGAAGATGAGCTTGATGAAATTCTTGGAGAAAATCCAGATGATGATGATGATTATTTAGCAGAAATTCCATCAGATGGCGAGTCAATAGCTGGGGATTTCTTATCTGGAGACGAAGATGATTTAGAAGAGGTACCTAATGAAACTGAAACTCAAACTACAACAGTTGCTGAAGCTGAAGCGAGTGAGAGTGACTCCGAAAATGAAGTGCCTCTTTCAGTTTTATCGAAAAGACTACGACGTGTTGATAATAATGCTAGTAAATCCATGGAAGTATTATGGACAAACAGAAACTTGTTTACGGATATGCCTGCAGATTTTTCACAAATATCTGGTCCTTTATGTTGATGATAACATTGAAACACCTGTTGAAGCGTTTCTCGAACTATGGACCCAAGAATTTTTGGAGTTGATTGTTTTTCAAACTAATCTGTTTGCTACCCAAAAATACATTCGCAAAGGAGCGCAAGGATTCAAAGCAACAACCATTGAAGAAATGAAGGTATTTCTAGGAGTAAATATTCTCATGGGCATAAAAAAATTACCAAGTCTAAGAGATTTTTGGTCATCCCAGGTTGAAATAAGAGATCATTACATTTCCAAAGCTATATCCAGAGATAGATTTCTTTGGTTGCTAGCAAATATGCATTTTGCAGATAATTCCGTTCAACCAAAAAAGGGTGAACCTAATTTTGACAAGCTCTTCAAGGTTCGACCTATGTTAGACATTTTACAATCCAAGTACAAGCGATGTTACCGTCCATCTGAGTATCAAGCTTGTGATGAAAGTATGATAAAATATAAAGGAAAAATGACAACTCTCAAGCAATACATGCCTGCTAAACCTATCAAAAGAGGTTATAAATGTTGGGTTCGTGCAGGATAGATCTGGGTATGTTTGCGATTTTCAAATATATACAGGAAAAATCAATGAAGTCACAGAAAAAGATTTAGGAGGGCGGGTGGTAAAAGATCTAACCCAAGACTTGGTAGGAAAAAACCATAAAGTTTTTTTTGATAATTATTTTACCAATGTTCCTCTGTTACTGAATCTAAAAGCTAATAATATTTTTGCATGTGGTACTTTGAGGAAAAACAAAAAATTTCTACCAACTGATTTGAAGCTCGACAAGAATATGAAACGTGGAGAATCCGACTGGCGAATGACAAAAGAAGGTTCAGTGTGCTTGAAATGAATAGATAAAAAACCAGTGTACTTTCTGAGCAACTATTACAACCCCGAGAAATCCGATCACGTCAATAGAAGACAAAAAGATGGATCAACATCTGCAGTTGATTGTCCATCTTTAGTAGCAGATTATAATAAATATATGGGATTTGTGGACAAAGCTGACATGCTAAAAAAATGTTATGCAATCGACAGAAAAAGCAAAAAATGGTACCACCGAATTGTCTAGCACTTTTTGGACACAACGATAGTCAACGCTTTTATAATTTATCGTGAACGCTCCGATGGCAGCGCTTTGAACTTGAAGCAATTCAGAATTGATGTTGCAGCTGGGCTTATTGGAGCACCACAAAAAAAAAAATCGAATTTCGTTGGAGAAAGCGTTATCCAATACAAAAGAGAACAAATTCAAAAAACAGGTCTCTTTGGAAACACGAATTGACAAGTCAAGTCATTTGCCAATTTATGGAACTTCTAGACGTTGCAATCACTGTAGCAGCAAAGCTCAACAGCGCAGGACCTTATGGGCATGTACAGCATGCAAGGTTCCACTTTGTATCAATCACGAACGAAATTGCTTCAAATTGTACCACGAACTCTAATGGCCGAGTGGTAGCCTTAGCTTACCACCATCTAAATCAAAAATCAGCAATTGGCTTAAATTTTTTTGCATGTTACATGTTTTTTATAAGGTAATAAACCCATAAATCCATATTTAAGCGTGTTTTTGTTTTAAAAAAATTTCTCGGTTACAAAGGGTTAAGACAAAAAAATTTGAAAAAAAATGTATTCAGCTTTTTTTAACTGCCTGATTACTGGCTGGGGGCTGAATTATTGGATAGAATTTTTAATCTGGTCACTTTGTCAAATCTTCAAAAATGGCGTCTTGTCTGTCATCCTTCTCACTGTCATTCCTTGCTCGGCTCTCTCGGATCCTCTCCAAGTGCGTGTCAACACTGTTACTAATGCCTTGGTTTATTTGTGGTGGCGAACACTGATTTTTCCCGCACTTTTTAAGGATAAATAAGATTGAATTATTTATTCTAATAAGATTAAATGCTTATATCCTGTTCACAATCCGATGTCCACAGGTGCAGGTGAATTTATCACCTTTCCCTATCAAATAGCATTGAAAGGTGATTTTACCTGTACCTACCTACCTGTGGACATCGGATTGTGAACGGATAATAACATAAGTTTTAATTCCTAAAACTGAAGAAAAAAAAAGGTATTGTGTAGTTGATTATTCTCGATTTATTAATGGATTACTATTACTTGGGTGGGATGCTTATCATGTAGCCAATATTGAGAACATTGTAGTAAGTAGTAAGTACCTATGGCAAAACTCAAAATATTTAGTACAATTGATCAGAGAAGAACTTACAATCAAATACCAAATTTGGAAAATGGAAGAAAATAGACTGCCATCAACTCTATCAGATCCGAAGAATCCCATTTGGTGCAACAAATGGTGTTGCTTGTTTTCAACGGGTCATGGATTTAAATTGGAGGAACTGCAATAAGGAGTTTACGCATATCTAGAGGATTCAACAGTGTGCGTGTATTACTGAAAATAGAACTATGAAACCAGATCCTGATCAAATCATCGCTTTATCAAAAATTCCGGAACCCCAAAATTCTGAATGAATGCGAGGTGTTTGGTCTTTTCGCACATTATCGAGATGGATTATGAATTCCTAGTTTTTCTGAATATAGATACATGAATTATGAATTAATAAAGTGTTAAACTATGCCGATTCCTCCATTAGCTCAGCATGCCTTTAATGAAATCAAAACTTTTAAATTGATTGAGCCGATATTTTATTGTACTCCGTCCAGTCAGGAAACGAAAATACCGTTGCGGATGCCTTTTCAAGAGTAGATAGGGTATATGTTGCTCTTCACTATACTATTTATTTGCTATCCATGTAAATGTCATCCTATTACAAGAATGAATCTTAAAGGATAAAATCTAAAACACAATACTTTGAATCATGTCGGAAAAAAATCATTTCTATTAGTCCTGTCTGTTCAGAACTGAAGCCTCAGTTTCATCAGAAACCAAACGCCGCTCAATTGATAAAAGCTACAGTACTTTTTGAACAATTATTTAATATTGTTTTCAAAGGTCATTTACCAACAACATCCAGAAACTTGACAGTGATCAAGGAATGAATAGTCACGTTATCCATTTGCTCTACCCACAAAACATCACTTTGATTTATATGCCTCTCAAGATTTTTTTTTTTTCATTTTTGGCATGATATCCTACATCCCTTTAGAACGGAGAAGTTAGCTGATTTCCACAGAACTCCCTACTATCTTCACAGTAAGGGAATTGCAACGAGTCGCACTACTCGCACTAGACCTTCAGGAAATGGCCGGTAAATAATGTATTTGGAAAACTTTAGCATTGAGATCCAAGGAAATATTAGTGGGAACAGATTTTGAATGAATCTCTGAATTCGATTCGTTCACTTTCTCGCACTAGCCCTAATACACACCAGCATGAGAGAATAACCACTCTTGGTAATGGTTACAGATGTTTTTGCTTTCGCCAGGACCAGTCTTTTAATAAAAAAACGATCCAGAAATTGGGGCGATTGTCTTAGTGATCAGTCAGCAGACTGGTTCCAGAGTATGTTGATAGTATGAACTCATAAGTTCAAGATAGGAATTTTGGAACTGTGTCCCTCTATTGTTTAGCTTGTGTCTTCAAGAGTCTTGAACATCTTTTGCAAGCTAATCATAACTCAATTGTGAAGCACCCATCAATAAAACGATGGTAAAATTACCTTGATTTTCCCACAGTTTCCCCCTAATCCAACCAAATATTTCTAGAAAAAAATAACAGATTCCGTTGTTCTAGGCAACCTCCGACATTGTGGGAAGCAGCAGCTGATGCCATCTTGTTGAAACGTACCATCATGAAACTGGAACCGCTCCACGATCGGTTATTTATCCCTCCGCCAGAAAAACCATTGGACTCAACCGCAAAAACAACGCAAGAGAATGATATTATCGTTGAAAACAGCGATAGCTAGTCCCGCCCGCTTTATATAATGCCTTAATGTTATTATTAATAATGAATTAAACAAATTTTTGGTAATAATTTTATGTTTTATATTGATTTTTAATAGGCCCTACTTCCCTTCTGGGTATGCAAAGTGGCGGTATAGCTTCAAACCAATTTGGTTTCCTGGTTGAATTGGTTGCATCTTATTCAAGGCAGGTCAGGTGAGCATTAGAGATTGCAGTTTTGGGTTTACATCCCTGAATTTCAAAGACAAAATCCTGGAATACTACTAATTCTCGGATCCAAAAAAAAAACTTATAATTCTGAACTAGTTTTATTTGGGTAAAGTTGGCCTGATCCGAAATATTTTCACTATTTCCAAGGAAATCCTCATCATGTCGTGGAACAAAGTGATGATGCAGCTGTTGTAGGAGTCTTGGCTTGGAGGTGAGGAACAGGAACACTTATCTAGTCAAGTGTATATAATTTCCACTAAAATAATCCATTATTGTCCCCTTCTCTAGATGTATTTGATTTTGGTATATCTAAAACAAAAATAGAAATAAATCAATGACATATTATAAATTGCTCATTATTTATGTTTTTCTAAGTTTATAATCTCAGTACAAGTTTGTAATCAAACATTTTTCATAGCGTATATTGTTGAACATCATTGAAAAACATAAAAAAAGCCTACAAATATTAAAGTTGCAAGAGGATATTTACCTATAGTCATAACAGGTATGGCCAAAAGAGTTGTCACAATAGGTTTGTATCGTGGTAGGTATCATCTAAAACAAAGTGAAGAAAAGAACATAAACAAAAATAAATACTTTAAATGAAGTAATAAAAATTGAGAAAAAAATATATCAGTGATGAAATTTAGATTTCATTAAATATTATTTCAAAATAGCGTATAATAAATCATCATAATGTAATAATTATTTTCAAGTAAATTTTGCTTATTTTCCATTCGCTTTGAAATTGGATTGTTTATTTCAAGATGATTTTAAAATTTCCAGGAGTCTAACTTAAGGGAATGTAAAACTCGATTGTATTACCCATATTATATCACCACTCAGCAAATTAAAAAACTTACCATTTAAAGGTTTTCTTGCCAAGAACCATACATTTTCATTTTCCTCATTTTTGTTTATCACCATCATCTGGAAATAAATTGAAAACATTAATTAAATCCTTAGTAATCTAATAAATTGCTATTTCTTATAAACACAATACATAATTATTTATTATCAGATACCATGTTATCATCAATTTTTTCCATTTATGATAGGGATAACTATTTAACATCATGTGTGAAAATTTTGTTAATACAGTATAGGATTTTTATGCTATATTTAGGATGACGTCACATTTAGTAAATTTCTGCTGCCACCCTAACAAAACTAAAAGTACTTTTTAACGCATTTAAAGTAGGGGAATTTCAGATTTTTTGGTTGGCAATGGCACATGATGTTGCATGACTTGTAAAGTCTGTTTTTTTTTAAAGATAATTCCCCAAGTCAAAAATTTAGTAACTATGTTGGCAACACAGGCCTTTTCTATATTAAAAATTTGAAAGCATTGACAATTTTACATTGTATTGCCAACATAATGTCATTTTGACTTTTATCTTTAAAAAAAAACAGATTTTATGAACATTTTCATTTCATTATTTTTAGCTGTTGTCAGAATTATTGACACAGGACATTCTCGTAAATCATAAGAAAAAAATAGTCATTGACATTGTCTTGCCTTGTTCGGTGACGTCATCCTAAATATACCATAAAAAACCTACAAATATATGTAATTTCTTGTAGCTTGTAGCAGCTGACACTGAATAACAACCATTAAAATAACAGATAACAAAGTATTTCTAAAAAAAAACTTACCAGATAAATTCTTCTATCCCAAGATTCATAAATTATTTTGCTTCTGTAGATTACCATCCTCTGAAAATAAATGAGAAAAACATCAATTAAAACATTGTTAATGTATCTAATAAAAAACAATCTTGTAAACAAAATTTATATCAGATACCATGTTATCATCAACTTTCTTATTTATGATAGGGATAACTATTTAACATCATGTGTAAATATACATTTAATACAGTAAAACTCACTTTTAACCTACCAAAAAGAAAAATTCCACAATTTTCAGAAAAATATTGATGTTCTTAGTTGCATACTTCTAAGAAAAATTACCAATTTCTCGACTTAAAAATTTTGAGCATTATACATAATATAGACTCTAGAGATGTAAATGCATTTAAAACACAATATCTTATCAAATTGCCAAACACAAACTCCTAGTTCATCTTTTTTTTTTTTAATTTCAAAATACACTGCACCACATAATTAGCGCATAGGTTAAATTTACCATTTTCTTTTTTTTTTTTGGTTCTCATTTGTTTTTGGAATAATTTTTCTGGATGCGGTTTTCGGCGTTCGGAAGTTGTTTTCATCTAGATTACGCGGCAAAAACAATGTTTTAGAAGGAATGTTATTTTCATGTTATACAGGGTGATTCATGAAGTAATGCAACAATAGACAAATTAGGGGTTTGCGCCTGGCCGGCGATATTTTTTTTTTCACATTCATCCAGTATGGACCGTTGATAAACTGCTGTCAATATCTCCAGACGTTTTTGGCAGTTTTCTGGTAAATGCCCTTTTGAGGCAGATATACCACTGAATAAAAAATGGGTCAAATTCTTGTTAACACAATTTTCAAAAGGCTGCTGCGTGAAAACGGCTGAACCGGTATCAATCAGCATATCGGATTTTGAAAGCTCATATTCTGTAGATTTTCCATGATGCAATAGCTTTTCTTGCGGATGTCTCCAATCACATGATACAAGGGTTGAAAAAATCACGAGCCTAAAATTGCGCAAATCATGGTAAGTGCTGTCTTCAAAGATATGCCAATTGGACTGCGTGCTTTTGTTTTGTTAAACAATTAGTCAATTGTTTTTGGATTAATGCCCCCTCGACTGCCATTTTGGTAGTCCCAATTAGAAACGCTATGCTTAGAAACGGCCTGATAAATTTGGAATATTTTTTCGATTTTGAAACCTTATTTCATGAAAATGAATTCGGTATTTTTCGAAATTCAAAATTTCGCATTATACAGGGGTTAGCGGGAAGGTAAAGGTAAGTTTGTCAGAAATCAGATAAATCCTGTAGATATTGTGCCAAGTGTTAGGTACTTTGGGTCTATATCTCAAGATGATTAAATTACTTCTGTATTGTAAACCAGGCCCCTGAATGCCTCTTTGCCAGCACAATAATTTCAATAAGCTAGATTTTGAAAACGGAATAATGGATTTTCACGGGCTTTTTAGATGTTGAAGACTTTTTTCTAGATTATAACAGATTCAAAATTTAGCGTTGTACAGAAGTTACCGAAATCAAATGTCCTGTAGGTGAAGATTAATTTCATTAAATCCACACAGTATAGGAATAATTAAAATGGAGACTATAAGAAAAAAAATAACATTTAATTTCACAATTTATTCCCATATTTCCGTAAGCCTTAAAGACAGCTCATTAAAGTTCCTGGGAGGAGGTAATAAGGCTCTAAGGTCAGGCCTTCTCGGTGGCTGCGTGCGTTTTGGACAATTTTGTTTTAAACTACTCTAAATAAAGTTAAAAGCTTCCAATGCACACATGAAAAACAACTTGAAAGTGCTGCAGTCGAGAATCAAACATTTAAGGAATATTGTTCTTATTTGCTTTTTTACGATATTCTGAACAACCACTATTTTTTTATGGATTCAACAGAGTCAATGCACAGTTTTTGAAATTATGAATTAACTTGACATTGCACTCAGCTACTATCTAAAAGGGTATTGTTTGGCCCTTATCTAATGTTCAATAAATTCACTCTTATTTTTTTGCTAACCTCTATAAAAGGCTATGCTTTGGATCCGTATCGATAAAATTAATTTTCCGAGAACGCTTCTTGAAATCCATTCACAATTTGTAACTTATTGACGCTTTTGTGCTGCTAACAAGGCATTCAGGGGGCCTGATTCACAAACAGAAGTAATCGTCTTGAGATAATTGACCCAAAGTAGGTACTTAACATTTGGCACAATATCTACAGGATTTGTCTGATTTTTTGACAAACCTAACTTTACCTTCTCGCTAACCCCTGCATAATTCGAAATTTTGAATTTCGAAAAATAGCGTATAAATTTTCATAAAATAAGCTTTCAAAATCGAGAAAATATTCCAAATTTATCACGCCGTTTCTAAGCAACAGCGTTTTCAATTGGGGCTCTAGTTGCCATTGTTATGTTGCGTGCCTCTACAACGATAACTTATTATTCACCTCAAGAAGGACTCGTTACTACAATTCAAAATGATTTATTAAAAACAGTTACATGAGCATAAGACATTACGATTACGATTACATAGTACAAGTTGGTTACAAATTTACAATAATTGTGAGGCGCAGATTCATGTCCTCCGCAGTATTTATGCGGTCGAGCTGAGAAGCTACGACCTACGTGCTAGGTGGTCTAATTGGCATATCTTTGAAAACAGCATAACCTCACGGAAATTCTACAGAAAAAGAGCTGCTTTCAAAATTCATCATATTAGTTAGGTTAGAATCGCAAATTGGCGCGGGTTCCTAGTTCAAAAATTAATACATTGATGTCTTATGGGAACTCAATTTTAAAAGCGTCTGTAGACGTGATAGAACGTTTGTTAGAGAAGTGAGTTGTATAAATAGTTTTTCTAATATGTTAATTAACTGAGAGAGTGTTTGAAAGTTGAATAAACATTGTTAAAATAAAAATATTACCAATTTAAGAAGCCGATGTTTGTATAAAATACATATGTCGTTGCTTGATCCACAAGTATATATGGGTACCCATAATTATAATAAAATAAAAGTGTACCTAAATACATACTTGGTTAGTAGATGTACTTCAATAATCCAAAAAAATGGAAAAACAAATGACTGAACTAGTGATAAATAAATAAATAAACAATTCACCAACAATCATAACACAACACACAACCTCACTTTCTTAGAGCTGGTTTTAGACCCGACGTACGTCCACCGAAAACAGACACTTTTAATTAAAATCATTTGTATTTTTAATTCATAGGTCTAAGAAAACAATTAGAGCATGAATTATAGAGATATATGTTCATAGTTTGACGTATAATAGGTTCAAATACTAAGAAATGCCCAGAACCCAAGGGATTCCCGTCTGAAAATCACTCTTTTGAATCCCCCATAAGAAATACATTGCTGTCAAATTTGTTGAAATGTGTTTAGGAACCCATTTTAAATTTCGCGCCCGATTTTTCCTAACCTAACTAATATGGTGAATTCGATATGCTGATCGATACCGGTTCAGCCGTTTTCACGCAGCAGCCTTTTGAAAATTGTGTTAACATGAATTTGACCCATTTTTTATTAAGTGGTATATCTGCCTCAAAAGGGCCTTTACCAGAAAACTGCCAAAAACGTCTTGAGATATTGGCAGCAGTTTATCAACGGTCCATACCGGATCGTGAAAAAAAAATTATTGCCGGCCAGGCACATCCCTAATTTGTCTATTGTTGCATTACTTCATGAATCACCCTGTATAACATGAAAATAACATTCCTTCTAAAAAATTGTTTTTGCCGCGTAATCTAGACGAAAACGACTTTCGTACGCCGAAAACCGCATTCAGAAAAATTATTCCAAAAAAAAAATGAGAACCAAAAAAAGAAAATGGTAAATTTAACCTATGGGCTAATTATGCTGTGCAGTGTACAGGGCGTCCGAATTTGGATGGTTTTAATAGGAAACGTCAATTTCTGAGCGAGATACAAAAAAATGAGCCCCCCACTCCGAGGCTCAAATTTCTTGAAATTTTGATTGGTGCAAACCACATTTTGATATCTTCAACCGTTTAGCCGCTAGAGGGCGATTCTCGATTTTGAGCAATACTGTGAAATCTTCATAACTTTTTTGTTTATAAAAATAACTGATTTCTGTAAAAACTTCCTCGAAGCACTTTTTCAAGCAGAATTCAGTGACGTTTTCAGTTTTTTTCTATTGGGCCTCGATTTCAAGATTTTGACCAAAATCAGATTTTTTCCAATGGGACACCCTATATATTAATAGCTCATTAGAAAGCTCTGCTTTTGCTGATTTCAATGATAAAAATTTCGATACGTTTACCTCTAACAGTTTTTGAGAAAAAAAAATATTTCGGCTTTTGTCATAAGAAACAATGAGTTAGAAAGAGACCTTTCTCAGTTTCCTTACAGATATAAAGTCCTTTTCTTACACATTACTTCTTATGACAAAAACCGAAATAATTTTTTTTCTCGAAAACTATTAGAGATAAACCTATCGAACTTTATATCATTGAAATCAGAAAAAGCCGAGCTTTCTAATGAGCTATTAATTTATAGTGTGTCCTATTGAAAAAAACCAGACTTTGGTCAATATCTCGGAGTTGGGACCACCTAGAAAAAAACTGAGAACGTCACTGAATTCTGCTTGAAAAAGTGCTTTTAGAAAGTTTTTACGGAAACCAATAATTTTCATAAACAAAAAAGTTATGATCGGTTATGATGGTTTCATTGCTCAAAATCGAGAATCGCCCTCTAGCGGCTAAACGGTTGAAGATATCAAAATGCGGTTTGCACCAATCAAAAATTCATGAAATTTGAGCCTCGGAGTGGGGGGTTCATTTTTTTGTATCTTGCTCAGAAATTGATGTTTCCTATTAAAACCATCCAAATTCGGACACCCTGTACCTGGGCAAGATGCACATTTTACATTTTCTAAATTTGCAATCATATTATAAATTTCAATTTCTTTTATAACAAACTACTGATATAAGGATTCTTATGCCCCTCTCAAGCTCTATGAGCAAGCTTTACTGTTATTTGGAGAACTAAATAAAACTTTGCTTACCTCCGGATACAAAA